TTTGTTTTAAATTGAATTTACACATAATTTACGCAATTTTTTCCAAAAAACCGTTTCATATACTCAAAGTTGAGTCTTTGAGCTTTACAAAACTCTAAGACAAAGTATGATTATCTTTACAAAAAGACTAGTTACAGCCATTTAAAAATTACTAAATTTTGAAATTTGAAAAAATAGCTTGCAATTATTTTTTTTTGCATAATCCTCAAAATTTTTAATCAAACTATTAGTCAGTATTGTATTTTTATATATTACAAATTTCAAAAATGGTTCTCAGTACGTAGTGTAGGTGGCAGCACACATGATAATAATAAGATAAATGAATTAATCGTATGATTACAAGTAATCATGGATTATAATTTTGTTCCATATTAGTTTATATTAATTATCCAACAAAAAAATTGAACATGTTCATTCTAGTTGATAGTTTTTTATTAATGATAATTAGAGCACATTATAGCAGTTAAGAAAAATACGCCTTTCCGATACGTTATTAATTTGATTTATTCTGCAGTGGCAAGTGTTGTTTTGGTACAGTTTGGGAATTTGTAAAGATAATCATACTTTGTCTTAGAGTTTTGTAAAGCTCAAAGACTCAACTTTGAGAATATGAAATATTTTTTTGGAAAAGATTGCGTAAATTATGTGTAAATTCAATTTAAAACAAAAAAGAATTTTTCCTGTGTTAAATGGGAAACTAAAATAAAAATAGCGACCCCTTAGATTTGAGCTATAGGCGAGGATTTTTTTTACATCAAATAGAAACATTTGAGGGGGTAAGAGTCAGAAAAAAAAATAAAAATTTTGTTTGAAGCACGCTAATACATATAATAGATAACAACCCGTTGTGGTTTTTCCGGCAGAAATTATACAGTCAATTTTCGGTAAATTTGAACAGAGAGGCCGAATTTACATTTTCAATTAATAACTTGCTTTACCTGACCGGCCGAATTTACCACCGACCATTTAAAATATCCTCTTATTAACATTACCCCGAAAACATGATAATTTTAAAAGATGCTTTTAATATAATCTATATCCCCAACTTATTAAAAAAGAACACACCATTGGCGTTTTATGATGGTGTCCTAGAGGCTACAGGCAACACATTAGTGTATTTAGCATCAAACATGATGCATATTTTGCTTTTGTTGGAAATCAATGTATTTTCAGTCATTTTAATGGTTGCATTTTTTAATAGAAGGAAGAATGTGCTTTAGTTATTATTTACTTTACACGAAGGCATGCCGTTTCATTAGGTTCCGCATTTCAAAAGGAAAAAGGAATCTTTACAGTATCACTTTGTTTTGTCCGTCTCTCTGTCTGTCTCAGAAGCGCGTGGAAGTTCAAAATACAATCGAACCTGGATAAGTGAGAAAACTCTATAAGCGACAAAAACAGTCAGGTCATTTTTAGACCCGAAAACCTCTATGAATGACAGTGTGAGTACCTCTTTTAGAGAGAGTCATTTTTTACTTCGAGACCTCTGTCCTCTGTTAAATTTCACAGGCAGACATTCGGGAACTTACTATCGTAAGTAGAATATCGGCACACGCGTTAAATTAATAAGGCGTGTTGTTTAATTCTTTGGTGGAAGGTAGAAAGAAATAGAACTCTTGCAGCGAAGTCAACTTAATTATATATTTACAAATATGTACAGAGTATCTCCAACTAAAGATTCATTATGATTGTATTGTACAAGTGCTTGTCTTGCGTTTTTGTGCTGACTTAGTTCAAGTGCTTGTCTTCTTATATCTACAACTTAAACTAGGAGGAAAACAGCAAGGGTGTGGCTAGTTTCACCATTGGTGATTAACCCTTTCAAAACAATTCGGTGCAAATTTAGAAGGCGGGCTTTCAACTTTCAAAATTTTGGAAAGAGGGACGTTTACAATCTGAGAAAAGATCGGCACATCAAGAAATCAACAAACGGTACTTTTAACCGTTAGGCTCATAAAAAAACACCCCATAATAAAATTGAAACTAAATTGGAATCGTAAAGGATCCTTCTTCAACCGTTAGTTATCCAGGCTACATTGTTGTAATCTCTATATAAAAAGTGCTGACATAGGTCTGCTCTCACGTTGGAGCCTTGATAACAAGTCTGAACTGGAAACTGCTTTTGCATAGTTAGCATTTAAGTTTTCTTATTGTTCTTTTTAATTATAAATCTTTAGATTGTTACCACCGCGTCTACCATCTAGACGTAAGAACCTACAACCCATTTTACCTAGCCACATTTTCCGCTTGTATTAAGTATTGATGTACTAGATAAATAAAAAACTTTGAACTCACGAAAAAAGCTTGGTAACCTTCTCAGTCCCCACAACGTTTTTTAAAATAAATTTTTAAAAACAACTTTCGGAGGACTTAAAACAAAACTCGTTACCTCTATAAACTAATTTAAACATTGTACCGATGCATCTAAGGGTCTACTACCAAATAACCACCATACTGCCTTGTAAATTTGCAAACATTCTAAAAATTGTATGCAGGAATTTTATGGCCTGCAAAACGAAGAACGGTCTCTGAACAACCTCTGTAAGTGACAGTTTCTTACTCTAGACCTCTGTATGCGAGACTATTTACAATTACTAGACATCTGTAGCACACTTGTGGGCTTGTTCCTACCTTGTCATGGTACTCATCCTCAACATTTGGTTTCAGTTGATAAAAATCATTGGAGAAAGTACGTTTGATGTTGTTCCCTCACAATGTTGAAGCGAAAAATTAAAGTGATTTCATTTTTTACAAAATTTATGAAATTAAAAAAACATATTCAAAATTGTAGAAAGGATACCCAGAAAAAATTAACTGATTTCTTTAAATAAATAATATAAGTACCTATTTACAGTAAAATGTATATATACTTATCTATTACCTATTTCTTAACACTAGCACCATGTTTATGTTCAGTTTTTATTAAACCCTATAAAAGAGAAAACTCTATGAGTGAGAATAATATTCGGGTCCCTTGAATTCTCGGTTACCCAGGTTTGACTATAATAATCTCAAGTTTGCAATCCCTTGGAGCTGTGAAAAAATCAAACTTATCAACGCATTCAAAGGATGCGGTCGTTTATGTCGCATATTTCGATAGTTGAAAGAGAATAAAAATCTATAGGATAGTTGCCAAATTTAGCAAGAAGCAATGTCTTATAGCACAAATAAAGAGAAAATTAATTTTCGTTGTATTGAAAAACTATAACCTGATCTATTTACACGTTTCTGAATAATTTTTTCACTATATTAAAAAAAAATTAAAACAATCAAGAAATAAACGTGACTTCTTACACTAGTGTAGAGTTACATTTAAAAATAAAAACAGAAGATAAACTATTTACTAATCAAACTAATTTATTTAAGTATTAATTTACAACAAAAAATACGTAAATATAACAACTTATTTTTCCTTATATTCATTACAATAGACACAATGTTGCAATTTTATCAAAACATACAATTAGTATCTATAAAGGTAAGAGAACATTTATTGGATATTTGTGGAATATTTTATTACAAAATCGTTTAAAAATATCAGCAATTGTCTCTTCTAAAACAGGTTTGATTTCGTTTGCCACATTCTTCCAATTATCGTTGATGAATAAATTCATAGCTTCTCCTGCAATTGCAATTAATAGAAACGTAATTTGCACGTGTTAGTATATTAGTATTCATTTACCTAGAACTTTGTCTCCATTAAAAAGATTATCTAAATGTACCGTCGCTGAACCAATAGAAAATTCTACGAAAAAGTCAGTTACATTGTAATGAAGCTGTCCGTCCTTTCTTATTTTCTCTGCTTGAGATACTATAGTAGCTTCAATATTACCTGTAAAAAGATTGTGTAACGATTTCAGAAATTTAATGCATAGGGTGGACAAATTTCGACGTTTGTATAGGACAACTCTGTCGCTGTAAGAGATACAAAAAAACTAATGGTCACTACCCGATTGTCAAAAGTTGAAAATTTCGTGTTTTGGCTACATGTCCACATCTTGGTTGCTTGCAACAATTGAAAAAAAATAACTTTTACTTTCTGCAGACACTCTTTTACATAGAATACAGTGATATCAGAAAAATAGAAAAAACATCATACGCTTTCGAGTTCTGACATCAACTTCAATTTTTTTTAAATAGGAGTCACAGTTGGCTATGCTTTAGTTAAAAAGATTATTTTTTCCTCTTTTCAAATATATATAATATGTGGGGTCGCATTTGATGACACAAACAATTAATTACGAAAATAATATTGTGATAGTTTAATCCTTCCATTTTTTTAATTGGTTTCTAGTTGGCGTCAGTCCTGTACCAAAAAATCGAAATTTTCATCTTTTGTTTATAAAGCGAAAATAAAAGGCGGTAGCAAGCTCTTGATAACACCAATAAATTAGAATCAAAAAAAGAGATCAAGAAGTCACCATTAGTTTTTTGTATCTCTTGTAGTTTCCGAGTTGTCTTATACAAATGCTCAAATTTGCCCACCCTGTACATATTATATTACATTTAAATTCAACATTTTAACTCGAGTTTCTCCATTACTCTGAGTCGAAATTTGAGTGGGGGTCTTAGGTACGTTATAAACTTCCTCTGAAATTCGATTTTCAATTAATTTTACTGGCTCGACTTTTTAAGCAAAACTATTTCTTATTCATAAATTTTCAAAACAATAAATAGGTGGCTGGATTACTATCATAAGGTTACAGTAGGAAAAGACAACACAATCGCAGTACTTTACTGTCTGACATCGTCACCTGAGATTGTAAGGGATATTAGAGGAGGATTTAACAACAATAATAGGTAACTACTTGTATGCAAGTATAATGGATTAGTTTTCGAAACAAAAAATAAATCATTTTATGGTAAACCAGAAAATTTCGTCTATTAACCCTAACGTAACTGGTTGCATTTAGGAGGTTCGAGTTAGGAAAGTTTCTAATTTTCAAAAAAATGACCTTTATATATTTTTATAGTTTAACGTAATTTAATCTGTTTCAAAACGCTGCAGTTTTTACAGTAAAAATGCTTTTCATCAAATTTTCCTTTAAAGTTCGGATCCTTTTTTACAACAACAACTTTGGCCCTTCTGTTTATATAATCATTTACACATTGGCCAACATTTATCAAACTTTTATACTTTAACAGAAGAATTATGCATTGTACAAAATGATAGACTATTCTTAGTTTTCGATAGAGAAATTGTCTAAACTCTCTCTGTCCATCCATTACTTAAAAATATAAGAAGAAATAATCAATTCTGAATTCACTATAAATTCTCGAAATGCACTTCACTTCTTATTATTTTATTTGCACGACCTTCCAATTTTATTTGTTCGTTCTACAAAAAGTTCAAAACTCTTTATACTACAACTATGCCGAGGACATTTCGGATTTTTGATCGTAAACACGTATGTACATGCAAAGAATAACAATAATTTGTCAGCATTTTAAGTAATAGGTATAGTAAAACACTATATACAATTTTGCACTTTTCATCAAATTGCATATTATGAAATTTCAAAGTAATTTTTCATAAAAATTTCCGAATTTTCGTGTATTGTAGAAAAGTTGCCATAAAATTTAACGTGAACACAAAAGGTAACGAAATCTTCATATTGCGAAATTTATATTATCTTCCCGAGATAAAAATGTTCAGTCTCTCAGAGTCTCTGAAAGCGAGACTCGAGTCTCTGTCTCTCATCGAGTCTCTCTGGTGTCGCTGAGAGAGACTGTCAAAAAAACCGTTTAGCGTCTCTGAACAAGAGACTCGAGTTGCTCATAAAGAGATCCTCATTTCGTNGTATAGGCAAATAAAAATGACATGATCCTTCAGACGCGTCAGAGACGGACCTTATCGCATGCATACTACAAATTTAAAAAAATTGACTTGGCTGTTATTCTACTTATATTAGCCATGTTCCTTTCCATACAACTAAGAATGGAAATGAAATATTAATGTGAAAATTCATTTCCAATTCTTATCCATTACAAACTACATCCAGTTAATGAGGGAAAATTTTGGTTGCTGTTCTTATACCCCCTCCGGGAATCGAACCTGGGATCTTTGTCTTTACGCACAATGCTCTGATGTCCCGGGTTCGATTCCCGTCGGGGGTATGAAAACAGCAACAAAAATTTTCCCTCATTAGCATGAGGTATTTTGTAATGGATAGAGAATTGGAAATGAATTTTCAAATTAATATTTCATATTAACCACTATTAAAAATTCAAAATGTCACTGAAAATGTAGATTCAGGAAACTGTAAAATGAGGTAAAAATGTATAAATAAAGGTCATGGTCCATGTCGTTTTAAATTATCACAAGATACGTGCAAATGAGGATGTAGTAGCTAAAATTATTTTACTCTCTTTCTTGTAAAACTTTTATTCGAACAAAACCTCTTGGCTAATTGCTTTTACCTAATTTTATGTATTTGTTTTGATAGTATTGTTTTATGCTGTCCTCAAAAATATAAAACTATACTTTTCAGATCCTCAAAGTAAGTGAAATTGTATCAAAACCAAAGTAATACCATTTAAAGTTGTTAAAAAATTGCTGTAACTCACTCATTATATGTAGGTGTTGCATTAGAAGGTCCAAAAACTGTTAAATTATACAAACTTCCTGCTAAAACAATCGGACCGGATCCTTTGCTCACCGAAACCCTGTCCAAGTGAAGAGGTTCAAATCTCTGTATCTTAACTTCCGGTATACCTAACGACATATACAAAGCAATCTTTTATAGAATGAAAAAATTATTATCCTTTAGTAATATGTGTGGTTATCAAATATCATTCCTATTTAATAACTAAAAAAATCTCTTTCAATTCGTGCAAAATTTGCTTCATAAAATTACGACAAATTAATCGTAAAGTAATATTATAATGTAACTTTTACCTGTAGCTAAAGATGGAAACATATTCTTAAACATTTCGTTGATACATGAGTTTAAATTCGGATCACTTCGTTTACAAACTTTCAACCATGGTGCTGAAAATAATTAAAGAAAAAGCGTTACATACATATCTACTAAAACATTCTTGCAATTCTCGTAACCTTTTTTCTAATGCTTTAATAAACAATAATTACTTTTCTATGTAATTGTTACTTTTAATACATGTTCGTATCCGTCCGTATACTATATAGTGTCTCATTATTTCTTATGCAATGTTCTTACAACAGGTGTTTTAATTTCCTTTTATAAACAAGTACAACTTGTTAAGACTTTCACTCCATACTAATGTATTTTCTTGTAAATCTACTCATGCAAAGATACACACATATATATAAATAAATACAGGAATGGTATACTGGGAGATTCCGATGGAGTGTTACTTTTAGTTTTTACTGTAAGGACATACAGACAACTTTGTATATAATTAATTAATTGGCAAAAATTTATCACAGAAATAACTAGACGTCTGTTGAATTGTTTAAGGAAGGTTCAGTTTAAACATTTCAATAGTGCTTTCAGTTTCAGTTTTATAGCGATAATTTTATTTTTTTTTTAACTTGAAGGGTAGAAAGGGGAGTCTGAAAAAAATATTTAACCTTAAAGAAAGTCTTTTCATTTTCATTTTTGCATGGGCCATCGTTCAACGGTAGGTCCTGCTGAAAATTTTATTTTCTGTTTTTTTTTTAACTGGTTCAATAGTTGCAAGTACATACGGGAAGAACTCTGGTTTAAGGAGAACTTTCAGAACTTTTCCAAAAAAAAGGCATGGAAAGAATTAATACTTCACTAGACATTTTCGTGTATATTTGGTGGACAAAAATAGGGAAAAGTCCATTCAAAAGTTCATAAGATGTTCTATTAAAAAGTCCTTATGATTTTCTTTTGTTAAAACAACATTTCGTTAGATAATTAGTTTCCACAGTTTAGAAACATTTTTACAGTCAAGCAAAAATCGATTTTACAATAAAATGGGATTTTTGATAATAATTTAATCGAAAATGTTATGCTGTTATCAATAAACTTAAAAATATGAACAATTCAATTATGTCTAATGAGCCAGCAATAAACATGATTATTATGAGCTCTTTTCTGATCAGAGTTCTTAATTGATTTAGGTACTTGTAGCTGTTAAACCTGATGTTTAAAAAGAGAAAAATTACAAAATTTATTTTGAATCGCACCCTTATTACATACACAGACGATGCCTACATTATTTCTATTGCTTTGCAACTAGCGAAATTAAAATTATGAACAATTTCTCCAAATTTTACAACAGGAAACTGTTCTTTGATCAGGATTTATTTCTGACAGTTTTAGATTTTATATCCATGTTTTAAAATCTACAAACCCTTCACGACTAAAAACTCGAAAAAAATTAATAACAAAATTAAAAAACAAATTTCCTAAAGAAATATTCCTTTTGGATTTATTCAATTTTTTTAAGTAACCATGCATTAATTTGCACATAAAGCTCTAAAATCATTAATTCATTTTAAAGAATATAAGAATACACATTTTCGTATTCGCTTTTTTTTATTCTGACTCAATACAAAAATAAAATGATGATTTAGTGATTCACGGAACTGCGGACATCACTATTTTGCTATTTTTTTGTTGTTAGAAGTTTGTCATATTTAAATGGATAATATTGTTACCTAATCTCAATTTTAGACAACGATACTCACGATTTTCTAGATATAGCAGATTCCTGGTGTCTATTTTTGTGTCACCTCTACATATAATTGGCAAAAGGAAAGCACAAACAAGAAGAACTACAGAAACATTTAGTTGATTCATATTTTGAAAAAGTTTGTTAGAAATTAGTTTTAGTTACTATCAGAATGAAAATATTACTAATACTAGAAGTTGTGGTCAG